AGGAGGCGCTGCGCGCCGGCAAGCGCGAGCAGTCGCTGGTGGCGCAGCTGGCCGCGGCGCAGCTGGAGCTGCAGATGACCGCCCTGCGCTACCAGAAGAAGTTCACCGAGTACAGCGCGCGCCTGGACTCGCTCAGCCGCTGCGTGGCCGCGCCGCCCGGAGACAAGGTAGGCGCCCGCCCGACCCCAGCCAGGCCCCGGCGCCCTGGGGCGCCTCCCTGTCCCGTGGGACCCTGGGGCGCCGGGAGCATCCCTGCTCCTCCTTCCGCTGCGCGCCAGCCGCGTCGCCACGGGCAGGTCGCTGAGACGGGCCAGGCTTGGAAACTGTGGTCCCCGCAGTGAGTAGGCGCCAGGGCCTGGGAAGAGCCGAGGGAGCCCGCGGCCTGGCTGACCAGGTTCCGGAGCAGGCGGGAGGGAGGCCCGCGGGGAGAGCGGACGCAGACCGACCTTGAGCCAGCTGCTCAGCCTCTCTAAAGTTGGAAATCGCGGCCCCCGGAGGTGTGACCCGGGATGAAAGGCAGCCAGGCACCGCTGGGGTGTCCATCCGGGGACTCCGGAGAGAATTAAAGGGGCCGACACCAAGTATACAGTGAGCGCGGGGAGGGAGCCTGTGGCTTAGAGCTATTCTAGGGTCTGGGCCTTGTGCTGACCAGCTGAGTGGCCTTGTGGCTTAATGCCCAGGTGCCCCAGTTGGCCCAAACGTACTTGTCCTCAGGAGGAGAGGGCGCCCTCTGAGGGGGCGGGGCGGGTTGGTGCCCAACAGGTGTTGCCGGCCGTCTCCTGTCCCCCACCGAGGCCTCTGAGTTCTGGGGGGCGGTGTGGCCGCAGTGCCAGCTCCATTGCTCTAGGCCCCGTGCTAAGCACTTTTCAGCAGTCCCTTTGTGGGGGTGAAGCTCCTCTCTCTGTGGAGGAAGAAACTGAGGCGCTGAGGCCGGTGGTTCCGGGTCACAGCTCTGAGGTGCCGAGTCTGGTTCCGAACCCCGTGCCGGCTCTGCAGCCCTGGCCCCTAACCCTCCGCCTCGGCCCAGTTGTCAACGCAGGGGCCGTGTGCTGAGTGTTTGCCGTGCTGGCGACCCAGGCAGGAGCCCAGGGGGCCGGGGCAGCAGGCCAGAGAGGACACACAACCCCCCCCCGGGGTCAAGCAGCAACCTGCAGAGCTCGGGGGTGCGCTCCGTCCGGCCCTGAAGCCCGGCGCACCAACACCCGGGCCCCAGAGTTGCTTGTTGTGCGTCGTGGGGTGCTCGCTCGCAGCATCCCTGGCCTCCACCCGCCAGATGCCAGGAGCACCCTCCCCCACGTTCCCAGAGGCAGTCTGGGGGGGGCGCCCTTTCGAGGGGGGCTGGCCTCGCTGCTGCCACTAAGGGTGCCTGTCCAGGTGGCTCCGCAGAGGGGGCGGTGGCCTGAGGGGCCCCCAGGGCCTGGTTGCCTGCCCCCCTTCTGCCGGCCCTTCCCTGAGGCCGCACTGCAGGCCTGCAGGGTTCCCGCTGCCCCTCCCCCTCTGGCTCCGCCCGCCCGCCTGTCAGCTGTGGCCTCAGCAGCTGGGCTCTGGGTGAAGGGCAAATACTTACAGCTGAGGCTCCCCCTGGACCGCACAGGCTACAAAGGGCCGGTGTGGCCCGCGAGTCACCAGAGCAGGGGCAGAGCCTGGCTTTCAGCAGGCACCGGTGGGTTGGGGGCGGAGGTGTCATCTGCACTTCCTGCGAAGTGTGCAGTGACGCTTGTTTATAAGTAAGCCATTGGCTGCCCAGAGCTGATGCTCCGTCCATTGTTACATTGTTAAGCTAGTCCTTCATTTCTTCTTGCTCTTCAGCTTGCTTTTTGGAGTGTTTGGATAAACTCTCTCTCGGAATTAAAACTATGATACTTGAATCAAAACTGGGAGTTTTGAAGCTCTGCGGGGTGAGCAGTAGGATGACCGGGGCTTCAGGCTGGGGGGCGGGCCGCTGCCGTTTGAGTGGCAGCTGGGGGCAGCCAGGGGTCGGCAGGAGGCCGGCCTGCGGGCACTGTGTGGCCTGTTTCTCCCGCCCGTTAGGGGCCTTGAGACACTGCCGCCCGCCCGTGCCCCGTGAACCCTCGTGGCCCCCGCAGCGAGCTGTCCAAGGGCGTTTGTTTCGCGGGTGGACGCGGTTCCGCTGGCACGGCTCATCCTCCACGAAGCCCAGATTTGCACAGTGAGGACGCTGTCCACACAGGATTCGTCTTTCATAAGTCACAATGTTTACGTCTGTTTCAGGCTGAAGTTGATAAGAAACACTGAGGTTTTCGGTACTGGCTCTGCAGGGCCCGGACCTTGCCCCAGGAAGTGACCGGGTGTCATTAAGGTGTCTTAGGTTTGGGGCCTTGGACAGCAGCCAAGCGTTCGGGCTCCGTCGGTGCCGTCCCCACGCAGGCGTCTGTCCTGTCCCGAAATGTGGCCTAGAGCAGCGGTTCCGAGACCTCTCACCCCCGCAGTCACTCGGAGACGCCCGAGCCTCACCCCTGAGGTCCTGATCCGTCAGGGGCACGAGGCCAGCGTTCGTGGTCCACCTGCCACGCTCCGAGTGGCTCTGGACGAGGGTCAGGCCCAGGCGGGGACGTGGACAAACGCATCGGGCGGCTCCTCCCCGGTTCCGTTTCGGTGGCCGATCGTTGTCCAGATGTCCCCTCCAGTGCTGTAGAGGAGACGGCCCAGTCCCGACCAGGCTGCCCAGCATTCGGACGGTCAGTAGCGTCCTGGAAGGGGGCGGCAGTGGGCGGGCAAGGTGGGGCTGGGTGAGTCGGCTGCCCCGGCCCCAGTCCCCACTGGCCCGGGGACACAAGCATCCGCAGCAAAGCTCCCCAGACTCCCCGGAAACGCGACGTCCCAGCACAGGGTCCCTGGGCTCGTGGAGCACGCGGGACTCACCACGGGTCCCCTGCCCTCGGCGCCCGCTCCATCTGTCCCCGAGGCCTGTCGCCTGACTCCTTCACACGCCTGGGACCTGAGCCTCAGCCGTGGGTGGCCACCTCTTCCCAGCCAGAGCCCCTGCCCTCGGCACCACCTGTGCCGTGGGCTGGCTGCCCTCGGCCGTGTGAGTGATGGGACCGTGGGCTGGCTGCCCTCGGCCGCCTGTGTCCTGGGTGGGAGTCCTGTGCATGGAGCATCCCTGGCCTCTCCCCACGAGGGGCCAGCAGCACTGCCCGTGTCGTGACAGCCGCGCACCTCTCCGGACACACAGAATGTGCCCGGTGGGAAAACTGGCCCGGGCCTCTGTCACCGTCCTGTCCAGCCCGGAGCTGCTCCCGGGCACGTCCTGTCTGTCCCCTGCCTCACTGCGTCCTTCGCCTGGTGCCAGAGCCCTCTTAGAAATGCACATCAAGACGCTCCTCCTTCCCGCTGCGAAGGTTCGGGGGTGGCTGTCGCGTCGTGCGGCTCTGCACCTGCCGGCCCGGCCAGCCTCGCAGGTCCCCGGCGGCGAGGGTGTGCCCGAGCGCCGTCCGGCCCCGCCTCCTGCCTGTGCCCAGCGCCTTCTCTGGACCGACGTGCTTCCCACCCAGCCGCAGTGTCACCGCCTCCAGGAAGCCCTCTCTCACTCACACCAGGTCCGGTGCTGGGACTTTCACGGTGTCCCTCCCATGGGGCACTTGTCACGGCTGTCACCACAGGGTGGGAGGAGTGGCTTAACGTCCCCTTTGGGGCTGTCCCCGGCTCCAGACTGATTGTCACAAGCTCCTTGAGTGTGTTCGTTTGGTGGGTGGGTTCTTGATCCTGGGAGCTGGCTCATCGGCCATAGAAACTGCTCAGGTCACTGGCCGGGGTCTGAGCTTGCATTGAAAAAGGGGGGTTTTCTGTGCCCCCCAAATTTACAAGTGTCCCCAGCACTCGGGAGACGTTCCCTGTTCCACTGCCCCCACCCAGGAGGCACCGAATGACACCCGCAGAGGACTCTGCTGGAGGTCCCCGCACCTGACAGGCGGCTGTGTCAGAGCCGTCGCCGACGCCCAGCGCTGTGTCCAGCGCGCGTCCTTGGTCAGCAGGCTTGTTCGTGGGGCGCGGCAGCAAGTCACCGTCCCTGAGCGTCTCACGGGGCAGCCCGTCCTGCTGCAGAGCTCTGGGCTCCACGTCCACCCCGTTCAGCACTTACGAGGGAAACAAGGGTCTGGTGGCAGATTTGGCACCGGGGGGGCCTGGACCTCGTGGTCACGCTGTGCAGCTTGCCCGGGCGTTCTGTCCAGGCCCATTGTGAGTGTCCTGGGCTCAGAAGGGGCCTGGCCTCCTCGCAGACACACTGACGCGTGCGAGTCCACTCCTAACGCGGGCTGAGGAGTGGTGTTCGCCGGCTGCCACAGGTGGCGCTGTGGACCCTACGTGCCGGCGGCTCCGCCTTCTCCATAGGTGGACCAAGAGGGGCAGGTCAGAAGGCATCAGGGGACAGCGGGGTTAGGGCTGGACGTCACCCAGAACCGGGTGGGAGCTGGGACCGGAACCCACCCCCGACTGCAGCTCGTGCTGTTACCAAACAGGAGACGCATTTCCTGGGGGGCAGCGTCCCCATCCCCCTGAAGTCTCAGGCGGGCTCTGGGACTGTCCAGCTGGAGGTGCCGGCACTCAGCAAGCCCCTGGGGGGCGGTCCCCACCACCCTCTGCCGTCCAGGTGGGAACACGCGACAGGTCAAACATTCCCCATGCCCTTTGGCTCATCGCGGTCGGTCTGGTGGCCTCTGGCGCCAGTGATGGAGCCCGCCCGCCCCGCCCACCGTCCCCAGCGTCACGGGGCTGCTGTGAGGCCCGGGCACCGCTCAGCCTCCGGGGGCGGCTGTGGGGGAGGGGCGGACAAGACCGCGGAGGAAGCACGGGTCCCGGGGGGGCAGCGGCCACAGCGGACCCCGCCTCACGGCTCAGAACAGCTGCGGTCGGGAGGAAACGCACCATGTGCTTGCGGCTTCGCCCTCACGTTCCTGGACGCGGCACGGACGGCCCGCGGCAGGCCCCGTGGACGCAAGCTGCGCGGTGACCGCCGTGCCCGTGGAACCGAGGCTCAAGCCCGCTGCTGCGCCCACCCACCCCTTCCCTGGGCTTCAGCTGAGCCCCCCAGGGGCGTTCCCATGGGTCTGACCAACAGACAGACCCGGCGTGGCGCACGTCACCTCGTAAGGGAACCACCGAGGGGACCGCGTGTCCCTCGCTCTCTCCAGTCATCTCCGTGTGGACGGGCGGCCCCGGTCAGCGACGCCGTGCAGCCTGCGTGGGGCCGGCCCCATGGTAGCTCCCCGTCCGCGAAGGGCTGGGATGAGCTCTGTCCTGGCAGGGGGGTGACCGTGACGCAGTGGTGAGGTCGGGCCCAGAGGTCAGCCCTGGAGTCGTGCCCGGGCTGCGAGGTGCCCTGCAGCCTTGCCGGGGACCCGGGGCTGTGGCCCCTCCAGGTCAGTTCACGCTGAGCCTCGGCTGCTCCGACAGCCTGGCCTCTGGGTTCCTGCCCTGGACTGTCGGGGTAAATGGCCGTCAGGCTGACGCACGCTCTGGCCGGGGACCCCCGGAAGCCTGTACTCGTTTCTCCTACGTTATTTTTCAAAACCCTGGCGGCCTGTGGGCGGGCGCTGTCTGCAGACGTCACGTGTCTGGCTCTGCCTCCTTGTGCCCCGTGGCCGCCCTCCAAGGACGTGCCTCCTTCCCCAGACCTGGGGAAAAGAGAAACGTGTTCGCGGACACGGCCTCGCCAGGCGCCAGACGCCGTCGGCGTGAGGCTGGCCCTGCTCTCCCCACCATGCCTGCCGGGGCTCGTTTGGGTTCGGACGCTGTCTGTCGCTTGGATGGTGGGGTGCAGAGCCCGGGACCTCGGCACCCAGCTATGCCCTGCCCTGCCCCCAACGCCAGTGCCACCCCCGCCCGCAGGTGGTAAACTGGCCTCAGGGCCCAGTTCCCGTGGGGACACAGCTCCCGTGTGACACTCCTCAGGCACAGGGACACTCCCGGACCTTGCCGCGATGGCCGCGTCGTCCATGAAGCCTCACCTGTGACTCTGACGGCAGAGCTCACGTCACGTCTGGTCCTTTGAGACGTTTTTCCACGAAAGCTCAGTCTCGCGAGGCCAGGGCTTCGGGACGATGCAGGAACCACCCACAGGCCACAGGGGGCACGGGCGGCGGGGACTGGGGACCAGGCCCGTCCTGGCTGTCGCGCTGTGCAGCCGCGTCACCTTCAGCGGGAGCCCCGCGTCTCCTGGGACATGGCATGCCGCCCTGAGAGGTGCCTGGCCCCTCACAGCAGGGGCAGAGTTTTTCCCCGCCCCCCGTGGTTGCGTCGGAT